TTTTATATCAAAATTCAATATCAATTTAAATATTTTTTTATTGAATAACAGTTTTTGCGTTTGTGATCAAAACAGAGTTTATGGTTTTTAAAAAGCTAAAAGTTTAAAGACCAAAATCATTTCCAGATATCGCAATTTACGATCATTTAATTCAAGCCATGGAATCTGGCTTAAAAAGTTGTCTGGTTCTTAAAAATTTACTTGCTTTGTTTCTATATAATGATTGATTTAAATACTTGATAGAAGCAGCATACATTAAAAGCATGTACGCTTAAAAAAAGCTAGCTTATACACAAAATGTATTTCTCATATTTAACCATGTAATGCTAAGGTTTAACCGGATTGATTTTAAATTTTAGTAAAATTATTTTTACAAATTTTTTAAAGTAAATTTTACTTTTTTGCAGGAATTATCTATTGTTAAAACTTGTAAGGCTTTTATTCTACATTTTTATTTTATTTTACTAGAAATGTATTTAAAATATGTACATAGCCTACAATAAAGTTGTTTAAATAACACATTTTAATAACGCTAGTATGTATCAATCATTTTGTAAAAAAAAATAATTTAAGTTAACATAAAATTGCTGGTTAAAAAATTAACTATACTTTTATAGTAGTCTAGAGACTTTTATGGTAAAAAAAAGAAGTAAAAAACACCTTTTTCAAATAAACTTAATAACCACCAGCTTTATAAACACTAATTTCACTAAAAAGTTTCCTTTTCTTTCAAATTATCAAAATACCCTTTCTTTTGGGAGCGGAGACCTTTTCCACGCTGGTTATCATTAGCAGTCGCCTTTTTCGATTTATTTGTGAATTATCTAGTTTACCAACCATGTTTTTTCAAAATAACTCCGCTCAAACCGTAGTGCTCTAAAACTGTAAGTACACCATTACAACTATCATTGTAATGAATGACAGCTGAATGTACACCCATTTAAACAATAATTCTTCCAACAAAAATTGTTTTTTGCATGCGCGACCATATGATACTATTTAGTGCTTCATTAGGGTTTTGGGTTTTTTCATGTAAACATTTTTCCAGTAACGTATCGCTTATCAAATCTTTAAAAATAGGTTGCAGAAGTGCTTTTAACCAAAAAGGTATTGTATTGGATGGCTTATAAGCTTACTGTCCTTTGGACCAGTGCCTACACCAACTAGTAGCTTCTCGGGGGCAAAATTGATAACATTCATAAGAACTATGCAAATCAGTAAAATGAAACAGAATAGTATAAATGACTTTCCTCATTACATAAACATTACTGATGTTATTTCTGATTGCCATTCCATAATAATTCTGCATGGAGTCAATACACTTATTAGTTAATTTTCTTTAAAACTGCAATAAAATGTTTGAGCGCTGTACAAAAAATATTAAAAGGATTATTTTTTTCAAGATTGAAAAAGAAAGACTGATAGAATTGTGCACTACTTTGAAAAAATATTTTCACCTAAGTAGAAGAATTCCTGGAACTAGGAGCTGTCATCAATATAGCCCAGAACCTATAGATACTATTAGTTAGGGCATAACTGAATCTTGATCCAGAAATTGGTACAGACTGGATTTTGCTAAAAATCGATTAATCGGTATCAGCACTAAAATGGCAGACCGATCTTAATAGTGAAAAAGAAAATATGTAAATAACAAAATACCAAATAAAAAAAAAAAAGAAAAGTTTTTTGCATGACATTAAATATCAATTTAGCCAACTATCTGGATTGTATCTGAAACTGACAAATACAAAATCGAAATATCTGAAATCCAGAATTGGCAGAAAAATATCAATCCGTTATGTCCTACTATGGGGTTATGCCCTACTATATATAGTAAATGCTGTAACAACAACTGGACATATACTTTGACAGTTGCTGCATCTGAACAAATCTTAACACAATCTTGACACATATTTTTGTATTTTATTTTGTAAAGAATTAAAATGGAATAGGTACAAACCAAAAAAGTTTTAAAGCCAATATTTTCCATGTTATCTTTGCTTTATCAAAAATGCAAAAATGCAAAAAAAAAAAAAAAAATTTTGTTTATGGGACATAATCCCAATGTCTCAGGGTCACAAACCCTCTAGTCATCTGCCCTGGAAACAATTTTAACATGCATTCATTAGGACTACACAAATGAAAAGTTTCAGAGTTCCAGTTTCACAAAATCTGCTACAAAAAAGTAGGGTACCAGGGTGTAAACTAGCCCTGTGGCGCCCCGTCAAACGCGGTTTTCCCAAATGCTCATAAAATTAAAATTCCCAATTTAAAGATGAAAAAATCTCATTCTCCAAATAAAGTTTCCAAATTAAAGTTTAATAATAATTCTAAAAATAATTTAAAATTAATTATTATTCAAAACTAATAGAAAAATAACATAAAAAAATTCTTATTCATTAATTGCCTTTAACATGAAATCAAATTGCCATTGGTATAAAAACGCAATTGCATAACTGCAAAATTGGTTACTTGGAAAAAACACTATGAGAATTGGGATTTTTGGAGCAATTTTTGTGATTTTTTGGAGCAATTTTTGTGATTTTTTGGAGCAATTTTTGTGATTTTTGTGGCAACTTGCAATAAAGTTTGAAAATAGTTTTTTGCAATGCATTCCAACAACAGCAAATATTATATAAAAAAGTTAGCAAGAAATAAAGTACTAATCTAAAGGATCCAAAATAATAACAAACTTGTTTGGTTTAACACCCGCAAATGCTATTTCTTTAAAAGCTTCACCCTTTTTGGCTAAAAAGTTATCTTATTAAGGCTTACCGTAAACTCAACTTTAAGTAGTACATGCATTTCATCAAAAAAAAAACATCGAGAAGGTTATGTCAGATACCTTTTGATCAATTACGGCTATTATGGAAAGTCTTTTAGTTATTGTTTTTCTCTTTTTTGTTTGGTATTTTATATCAACTAAATTTGCTAAAGTTTTTTACTTTTTTACTGGTATTCTTTGATGACACGCGTGCACGTGTTTACTATTTTTAAAATCTTATCTATTTTCAAAAAATTTCTTTTAATGACACAATTTATTACATGATGATGTAAAAGTTTGTCCGTAAAGAGCAGTCGAGCAGAATTTAAACAATAATTAGGAGATCATTGGCTCATTGGAGATTGCTATTTTATTATATTACATTGAAAAAGAAATATATATTCAAAAGAATACTCCTGAAATGTAAGCGGCGACAATATATAAAGCTTAAAAATAAATCAAATTAATTATTCTCAATAATAATTAACATACACTGATTATTTTATAATAAAAAAATATATCATTCCTAATATATGTTCGGAAATTGGTTCTTAGTTTGCCCCGTCGTCGTGAAAACAACAGCTAATTTTGTGTTGATTTCATATTCATCTTTAATGAATCAGATGATATTTTATTTTATTTTTGGCGCTGATCAATCAATGTATGCAGCGCTAAAGTAGAGTAGAAAAAAAAAACACCAAAAAAAACCCCATGCTTTCCTACAACACATTTTAATCTCAGAGGAGGAGGGGGTGATTGAGAAATACTTTGACAAATTCCCAATTTCGTTAAAACGCTGTATCAAATTTATTCCCGGTTAACACTCTGGGTACTTGCCTCAGTTCTCCCTAATGTCTAAGGGCCCTGAAAACAATTTTAACACTTTCAGTAGCACTACAAAAATGCCAAAATTTTTAGAGCTCCAGCTAGTCTGGAAGGTAGTGAAAAATCAATTAAAATATTCTGCTACAAAAAAGTAGGGACTGTGCCTCGTTATCCATATATGGAAATCTATATACTTGCATATCAAAATTTTTTTATTTTTTGAAAGATCAACAAATATAGAATGATGTTTAATATTTTTTTTTTTGATATCATCAAGGTCACATGGGTTTCTCATTAAAAACAGGTTTATGAAAAATTGCCTAAATTAATTTAAATTGATAATTACATGTACTTAAAAATAAAATTTTTTATACACTTCTGATTATTTCATTGGATTCCCCACCCCAAAAAATGTCCAGTTGCAAACTTTTAAGTAAAAAAATCAAGTATTGTTAAAGTTATGTGACTTGAAACTTCTAAATAAATGTCGCAATTCTGAGGGAACATAAGGCCTGGCCAATATCTGCCTAAAGTCAAACAGTCATACTTCAGGATTTTCTTGGAGTCAGAGGCTAACATTTTCAAGGAATTCTTATTTTTCTAAGCACTCTCAACTGTATAAAAATTAGCAAAATCTGAGATGTATGATAACATGACCTAGGTCATTTGACATGGAACTGCCTAATAAACTCATTGCAGATATTATATATATGCAGCACTAGAATAAAAAAAATATTGTTTATTTATGTAATTCAATAATCTTAATAAAGTTTTCATTATTTGAAATCTAAATATTAAAACAAAAATGTGTTAAAACTAAGCACTTTACAATAGTCCATAGGACTTAAACATATTTTAGAACTCCTGAACTAAAAAGAGGAGTCCATACTTAGAATTTAGATTCATGGCTATATAAAAGACAATGACAATATTAACAATCCAGATATCATATTTAAATCTATGTTTGTTTTAAGCTCAAGAAATTTAAGCTCAAAAACTTTAAGCTTTAAGCTCAAAAACTTTAATGTTTTATTGCCTCTTTAAATTATATCAAATAAAGTTAAGTAGCTTCAGTATAAAAAATGACTGCTTATGAATAAACTATTAACGTCTATTATAAAATTTATTTTAACGTATCATTAAATAAATGTATTATAAAATGTATAACTATCCCTACCCTTTGTTATCTTGTCCTGTTTGTCCTAATTATACATTGAAACTGGTACAGAATATAGCTATGTTTCGGAATTTGAATTTTAAGCAAAACATAATATAATATATATCAAATCAACACACACAAAACATATACATAAGTATCACTGAATTTCATTGGGAAAATAAATGTAAAACATAGGATTTCTGTATATCTAATAAAATATTATTATAGATAAAAATAAAGAATTAAATTTACCTATGTGTTGTGGTATCATTTCTTGATTTACTAGTTTTGCTTGTAGTTTCATTATTCATTGTATTATTTCCTGATGGTTCGGTATTCCTTCTTTTTTTATTTGCTACTACTAATGGAGAAGCACTTTTTCTTTTCTTTTCTTTATTCATTGGTGTTGATGTTGACTTAGGAGTTTTTAACTTAATTTCTTTTCCATTATTTACGGCAGCATTTTTTGACTTCATTTTATACTACTTTTCAAAAAACATATAGTTAAATTTAAAAACTATTGATAAAAAAAAATTTAATAATGTTTATCAAAAGAGACATCTATGATAAGTGTTAGTGTTGTGAAAAAAAATTGTTACAAAGATTTGCAAAGGTCTTTGCGTCAATTTTAGATAAACATCAAATTTAACTTTCATAGCCTTTTTACACATTGTAATTAATTTATTTATAAATTGTTTCAACATGTTTTAGAATACACATTAATTTTCTTACCAACAAACAAAAAAAATACAATTGTTATGATAGAAAAATAGAATACAAAAATTTGTAATTTAAAAAAATATACGTAATTTTACAAAAATTCGCGCGCATTTTTAATATTACAATAAAATCGAACTGCCGAAGTTCGGTTTTCTCGTTAAATTTACCGACTTTACCGCCTACCGCAACGAGAACGTAGAAACTATGATTTTATAAGCTGTCGTTGTCGTTGCCGTTTTAAGTAAAATATTGTTTCTAAAATTACTACGAAAACGTCACTTTATGTAATTTTGTAAGGCTCTGTATATTTTTCTATATGATTTTTTTTTGTATAAAAATCTTTTTTGTTTTGAAGTAAAGAATTCGTTCGTTGCGACATTACAAGAAAGAAACGAAGTTTAAAATCTTTTTTTTTTTTTTTGAATAAATATGATAAAGTTATACCAGGTTCGTAATCAGTTACTTATTTCTCATTCTAATAACATAAATGGCGATGAAGAGCTGTTATTACTTTACGACGTAAATAAATCTAATAGCTTAACTATGCCTTATCAAAGTTATCCGAGATTTCATTTAGACAATTGTCCACATCAATCTTTGCATTATTTTGCTTTGATTTCATTTAGACAATTGTCCACATCAATCTTTGCATTATTTTGCTTTGATTGCTCTTTAAGAATACTTTCAGACTGCTGAAATCTCTCATAGACATCAGCAATAGCCACATCATAATCTGTCAAGTCACATGTAATTCCACTTGCGTTTTTTTCTTTTATATCTTTGATCTACCGGTAACTTTAAAATAATTCTGGTAATCCATTAAGAGAGTTGGATATTTTCTCCCATGAATCTCCTCTTTGTTTTGAACCACGTTTAAACTGCCATCGGTCGTAGGTCAAAACCTCTATTACTAAGGTGTAATTATGCAGCTGAGTCCATTGCATTGAACTAAAGAATAAAAAAAAATTTCAGTTAATTTATTATTTCATTAAACATATTAATCAAATTATTTAAAATCATTACTAATACAATATAAATCACAGATTTGTATAACAGTCAGATTTTACATATAGTTATATTTTAAAAAAATACTGAAGATGATGTAATTGTTCCAAATGAAGATTCCATAACAAAGATAAACTACCCTATATTAAAGCATACGCACACAAATGTGTGTGTATATATATATATATATATATATATATATATATATATATATATATATATATATATATATATATATATATATATATATATATATATATATATATATATATATATATATATATATATTATTTATAAAATTTTTTTATTTATAAAATTTATTATGTATGAATATAATATAAAATTAGTAATTCAGATTTAAAGTAAAAACAATTAGCCGATTTAACGATATGACGTTTTCATAACTATTTCACGCTTTCAACACAACGCTGAAACTTTAATTTTCACGTCTGGCCTAGAACATTAAAACGCGGCTACACTGTTAAAAATTTCCGTTAAAAAAACGGAAATGTAATCCGTTATTTTAACGGAAAGTATCCGTATGTCCATGTATGAATGTATCCATCCATTATCTACGGAAATTTTCCGTAACTGTAGCTAAATTTTCAAATACGAAAATTTCCGTTGTATTTTTAACTGAAAATAGATATAACATGTTGAACTGTCATTAGTGAAGATTTTTTAAAGTTATTTTTATGTACACATTTCTCCAAAAAGAAGTTCTGAAGTTTCACCTGCAAGGCGAAGAAAGTTCACCAGTCATCTTACTATTTACTGTTCTAATCTTTTTAATTTTAAAATTACATGAGCTTTATTTGGTCCCTCACGGTTAGCACCGATCCTTATAATGCCTACCTAGCTGTCCTATGAGCGCAATTTATACGGAAAGTTAGCGTACACATCAATGTACCCTGTGATGCAAATTTTGAAATCATTTAATTTTGTCAGCGGTAAATAATTTAATTTGAATGTTCAAATTAAGTCAAAGTTTGAATTCATAGTGCGCCAATAAAAACACTTGTAGAATTTGAACCACTCAATATAAATTGATTAAAATTGGTGCAAATGTAGCCAATAGTCACACCAAACTTTGGACAAAATTTCAGCTTGATTGGATGCTGATGTAGGATTTATTGCAGTTTTAGTTGAATTTTTGTCAGTTTTTTGCTACTTATACCTCAAAGCGTTACCGATTACTGTAAAATTCGGTCACTATTTTTAAAATAACGGCTACATGAGTGTTCTACTATGTAATACCAATAATTTTTGCTATAATTATTTTATCGGTACATGTACAGTTTTTATTTTATAGACCAAAATAGCGATTTGCTACTTAAAGCGTGATTTAAAAAGTCTTATGCTAATAGTGTCGACACGGCCTACAAAGTAAAGGTGGTCAACCCCTCAATTTCTAAATTAAATCCATAGTTTCTAAAATAATTGCCCATATTTCTAAAACAAAAGGTCGACACGGCCTACAAAGTAAAGGTGGTCAACCCTTCAATTTCTAAAATAAATCCATAGTTTCTAAAATAATTGCCCATATTTCTAAAACAAAAGGTCCTTTCAAAAAAAGTAGAGAAGGACTTGACCCCTTAGCCTCCCCGGCGTTGACGGCCATGTATGCTTCGCTTGAATATACCAACATTTCCTAAGGTATAAACTGCTGCCAAAAAAAAAAACTAAAAAAAAAGTGCAAAACCTTGTCAAAAGACTACCAGTTAGTAAAACAAAACAAAAAAGTAGATCTCCTAAAATATTTTGTATTGACCTCCTTAAATACATTTACTTTTAAAAATAAGTGAAAACTATTTAAACCCTATTTTTCCCATTCTATTACCATAAAATATCTAGTTACATTTTAAGAAATGTTTTTTTGATTTTCTCCACCAAAAGATTATTAATAAATTGCTATTTTAATACAAGTACTCTATAATACTACTTTTAAAGATGGTGAAAATATTCATTATACGCTGTAAAATATGAATTTTAGCAGCCTAGTTTCTAATAACTCAAATGATGTTCTTTAAAAATGCTTACTGTTTAGATCAATTATGCAGCGCAACAATCTTTCTTTGTACTCTGGATGATTATTATTTCGCTTATACCTCGACCAATGTTGATAAAAATTTTGATGAGAAGTTACAACAGTTTGTTCACTATAGGGCCCCCAGGGGGATCCTTTGTGACTGATGAAATGCTTGATGTGGTAGAAGACGACGTGAATTTTAGGTGTTACGCTTGCACCAGTTATCATTAGGTAACACTTTTTGAAATTTTCAATTTTTTCAGTGAAATCCGGCTGAAGGATCTATCCAAAGCAAGCCTTGACAACTAAATTGAAGCTTTTGAATGCTTCAATTATGCACACAATATTGGGAACCATGTTTGTCTCAGCAAGTTGCTGCAGCATATCCACATTTTTAAGCAGCTTCATGCATTCATTTTCCTCAAACTGGCCCCCGTGATACGGGCTCAGTTGAATGTGGAGGGCTGCTGACCACTTAAAAGCTTCTATCCAAGCAGTTTTAAGGATCTTGAAAAGATGGTTGACAACTCCTAAGTGGAGATGCAATTCCATCGGTGGAATGATTTGCAAAATCAGAACATTGACAGGCCCGCAGATGATTGGCTTTTGAATGACTTTCCCAAATAGCTTTGCATTAGCAACAAACCCGCCAGATTGCTGCGAAGACTTAAGGCTTGAATTAGTTGAGCCCAGTGTTAACAAGTTTTCAGATTTGGCAAGACAATTGGATTTGACGTCACACCAGGTGCAAGGGTGCGTACTTGATTAAGTTTAAAGACCACAAATTATATTTGCAACTTTCATATCACAACCCAAAATTAGTTTAACACAGTATTAACAATGCTTAGGCACAACTTGAGCAAACCTTTTCCACCATCAATTCAATCAATCTTAACAAAATAGTCACTAGAAGTTTTGCAGGACTGAATAACATGATTAACAAGACTTGATAAATCATTGCAGTGAGCAACAACATGAACTGTACAAGAATTTGTTTTTTCGTCTGTGATTTTTAAGTCGCTGCAGGTGAAGAAATCGCTCAATCAGGTGAAGAAATCACTCAAATCTTCGAAAATTCATGTAGAAATTTCGCTCTACCATCTTCCTGCTTGATGATTTGTTTACAGTTCTAACAAGTTTTTAAAATCCGTTGTTTGACAGGCCCGTATTTAATTGCACATTTACAAGGGCTACAGAGATCAATTTCAGAGCACTTGATGGTGTCTGCGCACTACTTTGACCTAAAACCAAAACATACATATTTTATAGTTACAATAAACTTTGTTTAGTTAGTTTGTGTAAAACTTTCAAATTATTCGTTTTTAAAGAAATTAGAAACTTGTCAAAAATACACTTCTTGAAATCTATCTAGTGTTATTTCTTAATAGTCAAGACTTTATTTCAATATATATGTTAAAATTATTTAAGAATAAATATTTACCAGGGGTAACTGTAAGTGGAGGCCTGCCGGATGCTTTAGCCAGTAGAATAGTTCTTTTCGGAGATAATTCTTTATTGGAAATAACTCGAGATGCGATTTGTTCGCATAATTTAGCATCTTTTGCTGCAAAAGATTGAATGCTTTCCCTTAACATTATTTGAGAGCATTGGTGGGACAAACCTTTTCCCAAAGGGCTGAGGCGTTTGCTGCAATGCATCTTTGGTTTTTTCTCAATAGTGGTTTGCTCTATAGGAGGATGTTTGTCTTGCAGCTTTGAACGACCAATTCGACATATTAAGCAACAACACATCGTGCCT